CGCCCCGCGGCCCGCCAGCAGCAGTCGCAGCTCCTGCAGGCTCTCGTTGATCCGCGCGCGCCGCTTCTTCTCCACCAGGGGCTTCCGGGCCTGCGGGAAGCCGGAGACTGAGCCCCAGGGCCGCGGGCCGCGCCGCGCAGAACCCCGTAAGCCCGCCCGCGGCCCTGGCCCGCACCTTGCGGTCCCCCCGCGCCTCCCAGCCTCGGTCCTCATCCTCCCGGCCGGCACGGTCCCGTCCAGACGCGAGGAGCGGAGCCATGACCCGCAGAGTCTGCAGCGCCGCGAGCGCGCTAGGCGCCCGCGCCCCTGGCCGCGCCGCCCACCGACGCACTCGGGTCCCCGTTCCCTCGCTTCTTCCGCCGACGGCAGCCCCGCCCCTTTTATAGAGCCTTATTTACATTTCAATGCACCGATTGGCCAACTGGGTTTGGAGCCGCCGGCCGGGAGGCGCGCCGCAGCCAATGGGAGCGGTGCGCTTTGTCTAGCCCCGCCGCCGGCGTCGACTGGCAGCTGGCGGGGCGTGGCCGACGGGCGTGGCCCCCAGCTCGGCCTCCGCGCGACCCCCGCGGGGGAGGCACCCGAGGGGGCGGTGACCCCAGAGAGCTGCGGTTCGGGGTGCGCTTATTTCCCTCCATACCCTGAGCTAGGCCTCCAGATCAGTTGTGCGTGTGAGCAGGAGCTCATCCCTTTACTTATTCCTCATTCAGTCGTTCACACCTGCTTCATTCACGGATGGTGCGTGCGGAGAGGAGCGCAGTGTGGGAGCGTGCTAGGTCCGGGGAAGGCGGGGCAGGGCCAGTCAAGTCCGCGGTCTCCAGACCCGCAGGGTCTGCACTGGGGTGGCTGTGGAGCCCGGGAGAGGTGCGGGCCCACCGCAGCGGAAGCATGCCCGCGGCGCACTGCGGATCCTGCGGACCTTTGTGTGGGAACAGCGGAGGCCCTCTGCCGCCCTCCACCTGCGCAGAGATCCCGGCGGGGCGGGGTTCGCGGCCGGCGGGCATCGTTGCTCCTCCAGGCTCTCTGGTCGTTTCCCAACCCCTGCCCTTCCTCCCCTTGTCCGCCTCCCGCCCCCCTCAAGCTGCCTGTTCTTTCCCGGTCATCATCTCTGTCACTCCCTGAACCCCCCATCTTCTCCTAATACCCTTCGCTCATTCGGTCCCCCTTGACCTCCCTTTTCCCCCTCAGCCCCACTCCCCCTCCTCCGCCTTCCCCTGGTTCCCACCCCCACCTACCCTCCTTGCTTCCTCCCACCTCCCACTCCTCCCTGTTCCCCACCCCTGCTCGTCTGCCCTGGCCCCCCTTCTGCCAGTCTCCTTCGTCCCCCCGCAGCGTCGCCATTCGGCTCCCTTCCCTCCCAGCCCTCCCCCTGCCAGGCTTGCGGAGGCCGCCTGGACCCTGTAACTTGATGCCCGTGACAGTTGGCAGCTGCAGCGGCTTCAGCGGAGAAAAGCAGAAAAGCAGCGACCCCGCCAAGAGCGACAGGTGTTGGCCGCGCCTTTGTCTCTGCCGGCTTTGTCCCGCGGGCGGGCGGCGGGCGCGTCTGTGTCCGCCAGACGATCGCCACCCCCACCGCGGCCGCCCATCTGCCGGTCCCGCCTCCCTGCGGGTGCGGTGCGTGGGCGGCGGGGCCGCGTTCTTGGGCAGCAACCTGGGGACCCAGGCCAGGCCCCTGTTCCAGGGGCCTGTGTCCATCCAAGCAGCCGGGCAGAGCCGCAATGCCACGATAATCTCTGGCTTTGCCTTCAACCTGGAACACGCTCCCGCGCTCTCCCGTCCCGCTTTAAAGGCTGTTTCCTCACTGCTCAGGTCTCAGCTTCGCTATTCATCTACCTGGTGGGCGCGCACCTGACCCCCAGTAGCGCCGCACCCCCTTACCTAGCCCCCTCCTGCTCACCCTGGATTGAGGTGGTCAGGGTCTGGTCCGCAGCCTCCAGCCTGTGAGCCTCTCTGGTCAGGGGTACGGTCTGACCCAGGACCCCCACGTACCTGGTCAGAAGCACTGGGTAGGTAGGGAAGGTCACAGGGTGTCCCAAACCTGGTTGAGAAGCAGCCTAGGAAGGGGACCCCCAGGGACTGCAGTGCAGTGGGTAGTGGGCTAGGCCACAGGCACTATCACCACCCACCCCGCTCCCTGCCCCCTGAAGATGGACCTGGCAGCCTTCCAGGTGGCGGTTCATTTTGGGCTCCCCACGGGAGGGACCTGCCCAGGGCAAGTTCAACGAGAGGATGAAGGTCCTCGCCATCTCCTGACCCTTGTAACCCACTGGGCACCCCTCCTGCTGGTTCTCGCCTGTCCCTGCGCTGCCTCTTGGCTGCTTCCTCGTGAGTGGGCGGAGATTTCCCCAGCCGGGCATTGCTCATCCCTGCGTGAGTGGACGCCTCTCATCGCCCCTCAGTGTCCTCGCAAGCTGACACTCAATTGCCCTTCACCCCTACTTCCACTGTGACAGATTGGGGGGGGCTTGAGTGGTAGACCCCAAGCTGGCCGGTAACTTTATTCTTCTTTGCCATTTAGACATCACCTCAGGGAAGGAGACACCCCCTCCCCGCCCCAACACGCACGCATGCATGCACGCACATGCACATGCACACATACGCGCACACACAAAGATGCACGCACACGTGTCCACCCCCACTTCCACTGTGACAGATTGGGGGGGGCTTGAGTGGTAGACCCCAAGCTGGCCGGTAACTTTATTCTTCTTTGCCATTTAGACATCACCTCAGGGAAGGAGACACCCCCTCCCCGCCCCAACACGCACGCATGCATGCACGCACATGCACATGCACACATACGCGCACACACAAAGATGCACGCACACGCACACATGCACACATGCACACGTGCACGCATGCGCACACACATGCACGCACATGCACACATGCACGCACACACATGCACGCACACACGCACACACACGCACACACATCACACGTGCATGCATGCTCACACATGCACACATGCACGCACACACACATGCACACGCACGCACACACATGCACACATACGTGCACACACGTGCACACACACATGCACACACACATGCATGCACCTACAGTTAAGTGTGCACTACTTTGAGAAACGGCGATGTGCTCCCTCTCGTACTGGTCTTGTACACCCCTCTCGGTACCCATTATGTGGCTTGCACAAGGCCAAACAGGTATTCTAGAATGTCCTCCATCGAAGGCAGTTCATGCCGGAACAGGGTGATGGGGCCCTGAGGGAGGCCTTGGGGAAAAGGCCGGTAGAACACCTGAGTGGACAGGGTACTGAGTGTGGGTGGTGGAGGAGGGTAATGGCGCAAGCAGAAAAACGAAAGGCCGCTAAGAATTCCCGGAAAAACAAGAAGGCGCCAAGAAGAGCGATGGTCTTGGCACAGCGATTGACTCGGCAGCCGATCTTTCAGTCACAGCGCCGTCCATGGGGTGCTGCTGTTTAGAATCACCCTATAGAGAAGGCAAGGAAGGTTTAATTATGGTTACAGGACACGATGCACGGCTGACTGCAGACATGAAAGGACAGGTGACACTTGTCAGGAGGAGGTGAGGGAGGGCTTGGGACCAAAGCCTCATCTTACATGGGGTGGGGGGCGTTGAAAAAACAAGGGAGAAAATTAAGTTCTAGGATGTGCCTCAGTGTGACCGAGTGTCTCTGGGGAAAAGCACAAGGACAGAGCAGGCTGTGCGTCTTGACCGGCCCGGAAGTTGCCTGAGGTTCCATCTTGAGGTCGGCCTCAGTTTCTCTCGGCAGGCCCACTGGCTGACCAACTGGCCTGGCCCCGTCCCCCCAGAAGCCCGGCTGCTCCGTCTCGAGGCCGCCAAGCCCTGCTCCCTCCTCTGTGTGGCTTCCCCGAGGAGACCCCTTCCTGCCATTTGTCCCCCGACCTGCAAAGGTTGCCCAAGCAGACTTCCTGAGCATCTGTGTCCTTTGGTCCCCTCAGATGCAGGAACAGAGGCAATCAGAGGCTGGGCAGGGATGCGGTGGACACAGGAGGACCAGATAGCGGCAGGGGTGGCAGGCTATAAATCCCCTGGGAACAAAGGCGCTGGGCAGCCTGCGGGTGTGTAGGCCCCTTGCGGCTCTGAGAATCTTTTATTTCGTAAATAACGGGGGGGAGATGTGGCCTTGGGGTTATGTGGTGAATAAAAATGCAGTTAGGAGTCCCCAGAGGGACTCAGAAGTTCAGTGAGCCAAACCTGGTCAAGTAGGGCCAGTTCGCAGAGGCCTCTGTGCTCGCTGGAAGGACTCTGCCTTCTGTCCCCACCCCCCATCCCCATGTCACTTGGATTCAGGCTGCCAGGCCAGGGGGCAGAGTCAAGCCCTCCCTCCCACTCAGGGAGCCTATGGAAGGCTCTGGAAGGCTGAGGACTCCGTCCCGCAGCCGCCGGCCTCCCCGCTCTGACCCCTGTGGTCCTGTATGGCCTCGTCGCTGTGGAAGGAAGGGCTGGACAGGTGGGGTCCGGCCAGATCGTGACAACCTGGGGAGCGCACAAAGGAAACAGAGTAGGTGTCTGGGGTCAGTGCAGAGCGGGGAGCACCTCCGGGGGCTGAGCGGGGAGCACCTCCAGGGGCAGAGTGGAGCACCACCCCATCTGCAACGAAAAGACTGAGGGAGAGCTGGATCATAGGGTTCGATTTATGTCCAGAAAGTTCACCGGGCAGGGACAGCGGCAGCTGCAGCCCCGATGGAAGAGGCGTGTGTCACTCAGACAGGGAGGGGCCAGCAGGAGGAACGCCGTGCAGGGGAAGGTGGGAGGGGCCTTTGTGACAGGGTCCCTGACGCAGACATTCTAGAGTTTTTCTTGAATCTTTTGAAAATCTCTGATCCCTATTCAGTTTTTCTTCTGTTACATTAAAAATACATACACGTAAAAATATACTTACTTTATTTACCAATTTTCTAAAAGGCAAAAAAGTCATAAAAAGACACAAGCAGTCGAACAAACGCATTGCACTGGGTGGAGAAAGCTTGGTTTGTGCGTGAACAAACCACTTGTCCGGCAAGGCTTAACGGGTCGGTGCCGACCCAGAGCTTATTTACATTTCTTCTTAGGAACATTAAAAAGAAGGCTCAGTTTAAAATCGAGAGTTTTCATAATACCCGTGTAAGCACACTACCAAAAACACAGAAGACTCGACGCGGCACGGTGTAAACAACTTCACCAAATGCTGCCGCCCGCAGCTCCTCAGCACGTGGAAGCTGCGCCCTTGACGAGCATAAATAATGAAATAATGCTGGCGGCAAACATTCATAACAGTAGAGGACGTTGTGGCAGTTTGTTCAGGTGACAAAAACGTAGCCTTCTCTATTGTTTAATCCCTTACCGACGGGACTTCAGAGGCCGGAAGCAGTCGGCAGCATCTAACTGCCACATGTGCGCTGCTTGAAAGTGACGTTACTTTGTAAATGAAAAAAACCATTTAAACGGCGTTTCGTGTTTGAGTTTATAAAAATAGGATCGATATTCAGGCAATAAGATGGTTTTCCTATGAAAACCAACTGGAACACAAGGAGACATCACCGTCACCCGTTCTAGCAGCCACTTCTCTGTCACAGGACGAGGGAAAACCTGCTCCCTTTTAGTTCCCACGCTTGGTCCAACATTAAGTCATCGCTTCAGCAGTGGGACCTTCTCACTCAGTCCAGGGACCAGGGACATTTTCCCAAACAGTCTTTGGGGCGTGTGATGCAGCATGAGGTTTAGCAAAAAGCCGGGCAGATTGGCCTCGCTCTCCCCAGTGTTCCAAGGACACTGAAGTGCCAGTGACACTAGGGGACGAGACCAGAAGCCGCCCCAAGTGAGGTCGGGCCCATGGAGACAGAGGGCCACTGTCTCGGCCCGGGGTCAGGGGTCGAGGGGGAATCACAGGCGCCGCCGCTGCTCTGGGCCAGGGCCGGGCTCGTGGCCGGGCGGCGTCAGCCGGAGGGCCAACACGGACGCGGCCCAGGTGAGAGGACCAAAGCCTGGGCTGCAGACGGAAGTCACACAAGGAGAGGACCGACGACAGTTTTGTCCACGTGTGGTCACAGCCTGGAGAGGCCCACGAGCGACGCGGACACACGCGGAGGGCTGGGCGTGCTAGGCTGACAGCGCTGGTCACATGACCACGAGGCTTCTTTAGTGCAGAGCAAGCATTCGGCTTTGTCACCCCAGACGAAGGTGCGTCAGGCAGAAGCGCCTGCCACAGGCAGCTGGAGCCGAGGCTGCAGGTGTGCTGAACCACACTTCACGCCACTTAATGGCCATATTTTGAAAGAAAATTAGGATAGGCTGTGATCCCTAATTGGCATGTTTTTACAACACTGAGTCTGACTAGATGATAATACGGGTGAGCAGCAGCCCCAAGAGAGGACAGAATTCCTCCTGTCCAGACACCCTGGGAAAGCTCCAGAAGGCCAGTGCCCTCAGCTGAGCCGCATGTGCTCACAGCCTGTGATGCCTTGGGACACCCCACAGGGGGCCAGTGCACACTGGTGCGCTGGACAGAGGCTCAGTATGGACCTAGGACTTCTGCCAGCATTCAGGCAGCCCCCCGACACAAAGGGGGTTCAGCCTTTCTCAGGTTACATTACAAGAAAGCTCTCTTCCCTATATTCCAAAGTTCACATCAATATTTTAAAATATAAAAATGTATTTCTTCCCAAACCCTTCACACCCTCTACAGTTTTAAGTCGCCCTTCGGAAAACTATGCGGGTTTTTTTTTCTAAAACAAGAAAGAACCAACATAAGTATACCCGCCATTTCATTAGAAACCAACGTGACGCTGTCCTGTCTTCCCATGGGACGGGATGGGGGTTACGTCTGCTCTCCATTCTTATGACTCGAGGGGGGTCCATTTTCCTCTTCTTTGGTGCCTGCCACTTCACCAAGTCCCAGAGCAGGGCTGTCCTCTTCATATGGCACACAAATGTCACCTTTTCCCTTGCTTTCACAGTAAACACATTCCTTAAGAGAAAAACGTGAGATTAGTCACAAAAATGAGATCTTCATTACAAAAATGCAGCCCGGCCTGAGCGAGGTGCGGGCGACCAGGTGTTAGCTGTGAGGGGGACCAGCAGCCTCTAAGGGTGCTGCTCAGCTGTGGGACCCCTGCCTGCTCCCGAGGGGCCACACTCAGCTCCCCAAGGTCGGGGGCAGTCAGGGCCTTGCCTGAGAGGCGGCTTTGTGCAGAGAGGGGTGGCCTCAGCCGGCAGGCTCACACTCTGTTCTGCCTGTGGGACCGGGAGTTGTTACCTGCCCTCCGTAGCCTGTTTCCTCATCTGTAAAATGGGGTACGGATGATGCACCTGTCTCATCTGCTCATCCCCAGACTATGCATGAAGCCTCTGTCATGTTCCACGCATGCTCTAAGCACTGGGAGCCAGCAGTGAACGAGGACAAACATCCCTGTCCCCATGGAGGGGACATCCGTGGAGGGGTGGGGGACAATAAGGGGAACGAGAAGTGCTCCGCAGGGGGTAAAATGACGGGACGTGGAGAGATGCGGGGGTGTCTGCAACTTCACAGTGGACATTCAGAAAAGGCCACAGAAAAGGTGACTGTGGTGGTTTAAGTATGTCCACGAATTCTTCGACACGCTTTCCTCTAAAGGTGGAGTCTCACTCCCGTCTCCTTAAGGGGGGACTGGACTTAGTGCCTCGCCTCTCACAAAGAGGACGTGCCGGACGTGACACGTGTGACTTCTTCGATGAGGCCATAAAAGGCACCATAGCTCCCCGTCCTTCCTGGGGAAGCCAGCTGCCACGTCATGAGGACACCCCAGCAGCCCGTGGAGAGGTCTGCGTGGCACAGGGACACTGAGGCCTCCTGCCAATGGGTGACCTGACAGGCGTGGGTGGGAGCCTCGCCGGGAGGGGCCCTCCAGATGACGGGGGCCCCAACATCCCGCCTTCAGCCTCAGGAGAGGCCACGCCAGAACCACCCGGCTAAGCTGCTCGCAAATTCCCGAGCCACAGAAACAGCGGGAGATGAGGGACGCTCGCGGCTCTGAGACCCTGGGTTCGGGGTTGTCTGCTGGGCCGCGCTGGGAAACTAACACAGCAGCGTCTGCAAACCAGGCGTAAGGGAAGCTGGAGTGAGCCGTGTGTCCGAGGGAGAGGACGCCAGGCGGAGGGAGGGCGGACGCCTGCCTGCCAGTCGGCACAGCCAGAGGCCAGTGCGGCTGGGAGGGCAGGGAAGGGAGGGAGGGACGGGAGGGGCGGGACAGGTCGTCCGCTCCGCAGCAGCGGGTTCCGACCGAGGAGGGCACCGCTACATGGGGTCTGAGCTGAGGGGTGACGTGAGCAGACTGCAGGGGACAAGGGGGATCAGACAGGGCAGCCGGGAGGCTACTGTGACAATCTGGGTGGGGCAGCGTTGTGGCCTGGATTGGGCTGGTGACGCTGAAGGTGATGGCTTTCAATCCAGCTTGAAGGTCCAGCTGATGGGAAGTCCTCGGGGAGGGTGGGTAGGGAGGAGGGCCAGGTGACACCAAGGTCTGTGGCCCAAGCCAATGGAGCATGAAGCTGCCCTTGAGCGCAGTGGGAGGGGAGCCGGTGGGGCAGGTGCTCGCTGAGGGCAGCTGGGTGTGCAGTCTTGGGCGGGTCACGGGTCAAGTCCAACAGAGGGCTGGACGGGAGGCGGGCGCTAGGCCACCTCAGCACATGGATGCTTTTTGTAATTGGGGGGCCAGGGGAGACAGTCCTGGGGGAGGTGGGGACAGGGAAGGGCTGCAAGTCCTGGGCCTGGGGTGCTTCAACACCAGAGCGGGGAGAAGGGCGGGGTGACCAGGAGGCCAGAGCAGTCACCCGGAGAACATGGGCCGGGCTAAGGAGGAAACCGCCCTAGATGCCGCTAGCGTCCAGTCGGCAGGACGTGGACAGAAGCAGCAGCAGAGGCAGCTGCTGGAGGACACTGAGACCTGGAGAGAGCAGCTTGGGCACGTGGGGCTCAGGAGGGAGCAAAGTGGGGAGCTGGGGTACAGACATGTCCCCGGAGCTCTCAGGAAGGGACAGAGACAGAATGGGCCACTGGACGGGGACAGGCCTGGTAAATGTTAGCAGCGGTCATTTAATGTCCCCACCATTACTTAACGGCCTGCGTGGATGCTGAGAGTTTACGATAGGAGCGGTGTTTTTTTAAGACATAAAACAGAATTTGAAAACTCAAAACTTGGAATTTCAGTACCTGATTGAGATTAGATATTTGGAAGACCTTTCAGGAACGTGGGAAGGAGACTTAGCAGTGTCGTGTTACCGTATCTTCTCAACACACTGTTCGTTTCTGAAGCTCTGACTTCCCAGAGTGGTCACACGGTGCCGTTTAAACGCGCGGTCAGAGGAGCGCTCTGGGAACTTACCGCCACGTCCACGGCTGCGGGGAGGCCGCCCGAGCGCACCCACGGGTGCACCTCCTGCAGCTCCTGCTTCTGGCCCTCCGTGAACCTGGGCTGCAGCTTCTGCAGCAGCCTCAGCTTCTCTCTGTCCTCCTTCAGAACCGCGTCCAAATTTCTTCGCAGCGTGTTTGCAAACAGGAAAGTTAGCGTGACTTAGGGCTCTTGTTTAAAGAACACACTCATTTTCTACCAACTCAGTATTAACAATGGAATTTTAGATGATTTTGTTTAAGGCACGTTGCCTTTTCATGTAAAATAGATTACCCTGTTTAAGGTAAAAACCTCCCTCGTAAATAATCTGGTTTTTCTATTAAGATGACAATCCACGTCACGATGTTAGTTTTTCTTTAAATCAGACAGGGGCGCTGGGTGTCTGCAGAAGCTTGCTTCTGCAGGGATGGTTAATCAGGGAGGGTCTCACCGGGAGGCTGCGGGTGGAATGCCTTCCCGGCTTCCCACCAGTGCTGGGCCGGCTCGAAGCTGCCCTGGGGACGAGCCAGGCCTGGCTCCAGATCCAGAGGCCTGGCCATCCTGAGCCTCAGGGGTCATCAATCCTCTTTCC